GTATATATGTATTTGTACACTATGTATTTATTTATATGTCACGCCGTTGTAATAAACAACAAGTTCCTTGGCGAGGATACTGATGACAAGCATGTCATTGAATGGTAACACTGAACGGTCTCTATTCTGGGCCTTTCGTTTGCGGCAGGTACAATGTCACGCGGCTGTCTCGCATATACCCCGCAGGGTTTCGCGTTGATTCGAGGTATGGTCTGTTTTGTATCTGCGCAGTGGTCTCTGAGAGTGTAGTATGCTGTGCTGTTGCGACATGTCTGCATTAGTCTGTGTTTGCATGTATGTGTTATCGCCAGTTAAGGCAGTGTTGGTTGTGTGGTCACTTGTCTTCTGTTGGTTCAGGGTAGTCACGTGCCTTGTACTGCCTGCTGAAGGTACTGTTTGTGTGGTCACTTGTCTTCTGTTGGTTCAGGGTAGTCACGTGCCTTGTACTGCCTGCTGAAGGTACTGTTTGTGTGGTCACTTGTCTTCTGTTAGTTGAGTGTAATCACGTGCCTTGTACTGCCTGCTGAAGGGTTGGTTGTGTGGTCACTTGTCTTCTATTGGTTGAGTGTAATCACGTGCCTTGTACTGCCTGCTGAAGGGATTGGTTGTGTGGTCACTTGTCTTCTATTGGTTGAGTGTAGTCTCGTGCCTTGTATTGCCTGCTGAAGGTGTTGGGTTGTGTGGATAGTCTGCAAAGGGTTGTGCCGATGTCTTGACTTGTCATGCGGCGCTATTTATGCGTCGATGTTTCTCCTGTGACTCTGCTAAGTGTGCCATGTTATTTTATTGGGCTATGAAGTCATCCCCTGTACTGTAGTGCTGGATGGTTCGTTCCTGCAGGTATCGCTTTCCCTATATCCTTATCTCCTTTCGCTCACACGTTGTTTGCAGCAATTACAACCCCATGACCGCGTGGAACTGTGGCTGTCAGCTGGTGGCGCTGGTAAGTCTGTTTGGGACCAACGGTTGAGTGTGCACTGCAATCGGCTGCCATTGGAACAACCCAAAGGGGCGAGTGGCAGAGGTGTTTATTTTGATTTATATTAGGGTTTAGTGTTTAGTGTGTTTATTCTGAGGTGTCGTATCTCCTCGCTGCGCTAGTTACACTCTACACGGTGTGCCATCCGTGTGGCTGTGTCGTGAGCGTGTTGCTAGGCAACTGCGATGGGCAGTGTTGCGTGTGTGGTGGGCTTTGAATGGCTGTGTCTCCCCTCTTCTGTAGACTGTATAGCATACAACCCAAAAACCCCTGAAACCCACAATCATGTCTGAAAAGGGGCCAATCAAGGGGTCTATGGTGAGTGCTGTGGAGTTCCCAGGTTATTCCACCGGTCCTCCCCATCAGCCAAGAGGACAGCGCCTGAAGGCGCCTACAGCGCACCCAAAACACACGTCGGTTCATTTGTACCACTCTGCACTACCCTGCCCTATCAGGACAGGACATCCACGAGCCATGAGAAATGAGGCTACACCCACACGCGTAGTTATCTCCTCCTGACAATCCCCCCTGTTATTACGTGCACACAACTGTCAACCAAATTCACTCACTAAACCCCCCCCCCCTAAACCCCCCCCCCCCCCTCTCCTTCCTCCCGCTGCCGCACCCTACCTACACAGAACTTCCAAACACCGGACAAGGCCATGCACCTCAACAAGGCCCTGTTCAAGGCCAATAGCGGGTGTGGCTACATTCTCAAGCCCGCCTACCTACGAGACGTCCAACGCCAATTCAACCCCAATGTGGTGGGTGAGTCTGTCGTGTGTGCAGTGGAGTGGGGGTGTGGGCTGTGCATGGTGTTGTGTGTTGCGGTTGTTTCTAATTATCTGTGTTTGCGCAGGTGAATGAGTCTTTGCGTCGTGTCTTGAGTAATGGGTAGTTCGTTGTGTCTCTAACCCTATTTGTGGTGTGGTGTGGTGGGGTGGGGTGGGGTGTGGTGTGGTGTGGTGTATGTGCCATAGTCATCTACTCGAGTGTGTGCTATAGTCGTGTCACTCCGTAGGGCGTGTACGTCCATAGGCCAATTGTTATGTCTTTGTTTGGCCTAGTACTCGGACGGTGGTTCAATTGGAGAAGGCAGGTGCGTGCTTTGTGTGTGGTGTGCTCCCTTTATCTATTTGTTCATAGGCTTAAAGAGCGTTATACTCACATTGCGCGTTTCTGATTGGCAGAGTGATGTTTTGGCGGCAAGCGACGAATACCCTGAGCTGACGGCGATGATGCTGACCGTCACTGTGCACTCAGCCCAATTTCTGCCCAAAATGACAGCACTCGACGGCATGGTATGAACACACACGAACGCCATACGCAGACATGTATGATATGCACTCACACATTATTCGTCTTTTCCCGACGGATATAGTTGGGCTGTGCATGAGTGTATGCGGCAAACATCGGATGCGTTGACTTTAACTGTTCGCAGGTGTAGTTACGGGGTATGTGTGGCGATGGGAACGGCATACGCTGTGTGTGTATGTGAAAAAAATACCTAACGCAATTGATTGCAGCATGCACACTGCTGTAGACACATATGTACTATCTATAAAAGCCTATACATGATGGCAAACATTGGTCAATGAACCCAATCACTGCCCAGCGCAATGTAGTGGAAGGTGTGAGGTGTGGTCTGTGTATATGTGGTACTGTGGAGGTAAAAGTAGTCACGAACGTGCGGCAATTTGCACGCACCAATTAACACGCTGTGTACACGTGTGGGTAAACTCTGCAAACGCTCGCGAACATCACATCACATCACAAACAATTATGGACGAAGACAATGTCTCATCAAATTTCGTATGTGTGGCTCTCTCATCATTATGTCCTGCTCACTCCATGCGCAGCTGAACTCACTCACCAAACCACTGCGCAGCAAGGACAAGGCCGACGCCAAACCCTACTTCAAGGTATTGTCCACTTTACATCCATTGTGCTTTGCCATCGCGTTGCATATGACATTCCTCTCTATTCTCGGTAATTACAAGTTATATATATATATAAAATATATATATATATATGATCTAAGATATATATTTATGTATATGTATATATATATATATATATATGTATGAATCATGTATGTAAT